ACTCAGTGCCTCTGGGAAAGGTAAGGATGACTACTGCGTTTGTGGCGCAATCAGAACATTGTGTGTGTTGAAGTTGCCTTTTGAAAAAGAAGTTGACATCCTATTCTTATGCATGCCAGTGCTGTGTGTGAGGTAATTTAAGGTGGTTCTGACAAGTGTCGTCGGCATCTTCATATCCGGTCACATGGGCAGCAAGCCACTCCCACAAAGGAGGCCACACCCACAGAGTAGGTTCGAACAATTTTTGAAGCCCACCACTGAACCAAAGTATATAAGTTCATTTTACTCTCACCCTCTTCAGCATCATCCTCTTGCAAAGAAATTTGATCAGCAAAGCTTAATGGACTAACTGCTTCTTCCTCTTTTTCAGAATTGCAATGTAGATTCAAGACTTCGTAGATTGCATCTCCAGCATTTATACTGCCTTTCCCTTCACACTAAATACAAATGGAAAAAAAAACATAATTTAGCCTAAGCAACTCTAAATACTAAAATGATGGGGTTTTTTTTTCCTGTATAAGAATGAAAAAAAAAAACTAATGGGTAAAACAAATTCTATTGGCTTGACTTCATTAAGCCATTACTGTCGCTTGCTAACCCTGTAGCTAATTTAAAGTTTGATATGCTAAAAACACAAAAAGAAAGAGTAACCACTCAAAAGTAGAAGTTAAACAGAACAAACTGAATAAGGTATAATGCAGCCCACTTAACAAACAATTTTTTTTTAATCTGAAACATTTAGTTGCCTGAAACTGAGAGGAGAAAGTACCCATGCAAAATATCCAAAGCCAGCCATATTAATTAAGCAGAAAATCTATATAACAAAAGATTCACTGTCTGTTGAACATACTCAAAATACATTGCGCGAGGCAGGCTCTGCACCCTAATAGTAAGGCTAGCTGGGGCAGCTATTCAATGCAATATTACAAAGTATAATGATGGCTAGCTCAAAATAAAAAATATATCAAGTTACCTCCAAAAATGTATCAGACAACCTGATGCCTAAAAGGTAACAAAAAGGTGCTAGATCAGGGATGCTAGCCGGATGCGTCACACGTTGGCCACGCCCACCCCCAATTTAGCGAAAAGACAAAAATCACAATATGTTACGTTGTTACGTGTCGCCATGAGTTTGACACCCGTTCTAGGTGAATTTTCCCTAAAAAGAATTCCACAATTCAGTTACTCACTTAAAAGAGATTATATAGCTCCATATAGCATATCCTACACATGATTTAGAGGTATTTAATAGAGGACACATGAGCACAGATGGGTATTTAACAGAGGGTATTCCAAACTGTTAAATTATGACTTTGATGCAGTTTGCTTTCTCTAGTCTTATAAACATGTCTATTTTTAATTGCCATAATCCCAGATCACTATGACATTCATTTTACTTCCACTTATGAAAATTGCTCTTTGAGGCAAAAGCATTTTGAACCCCCATTGGTTGGACCTGTCTTGCTGGAAAACTAATAGATTTAAACAGAATGTTATTTCTATCAATCTTTTTTTCTCCCAATGCTAAAATTACTGTTTTAAAAACCCTGAGTATAAGATATTGCATCCAGTTACCAAATGTTGAAATTGTTATACCTGTAACAGAATATATTGAATTCTGAATTGAAAAGAAGTTTCACATATTTTTCTCTCATGCTAAATGGAAGAAAGTAAACCAAAAGGAGGGTATGCAATAGACTAAGGCAAAAAAATAAACTGGACTTAATTTATTTTAAGTAGATTTAAGTAGTTACCTATAATGCCTATTAGGACTAAGTCTTGGCTTATCCACATCCACTCTCTAACTACAGCTAGTTCTTAATTTATGATCACAATTGAGCTCAAAATTTCTGTTGCTAAGCAACATATTTGTTAAGTGAATTTTGCCCAATTTTACAACCTTTCTTGCCACACTTGTTAAGTGAATCATTGTAATTAATTCACTAACAGGCTCCCCATTGACTTTGCTTGTCAGAAGGTCGCAAAAGATGATCACATGACCCTGAGACACTGCAACCGTCATAAATATGAACCAGCTGTGAAGCACCTGAAATCTGATTGCATGACCATGGGGAATGCTGCAGTGGAAGTGTGATAAACAGTCATTCGTCACTTTTTCCAGTGCCATTGTAACTTTGAATGGTCACTGTTGTGGCCCAGCAGGAGCCGTTGGAGCTGCAAACAGACTCCGCCAGCGAGGGGCCTTATGAGTTGGCTCTGGAAGAGGTGGAGGACCCTGGACAGAGTTCCCACTCTGAGCAGGGCGCAGAGAGGCTGGTTGGCCACCAGGATGCGCCTGAGGCATGGAGCAGTGGTGAGAGCCGAAGGGAGTGTGCTCCTGACGTCATGCCTTGGAGTCGTGACAAGGAGACAAGGGAGGTGGTCCTGGATGCCCGGCAACACCGGGCAGATCAACGGAGAGAATAGCTACACAGTTACAAAAGATAATTGAACCCAGGTGATTGTAATTAGGCTCCTCTCAAAATTGTATTTAAGGAGAGACTGGGAGGAGTCTGGTTTTGCAGGATTCAACTTCATTCGTAACGCTGGAGAAGCTGTTATCTGTCTCTGTCGAAGTCTGAGTTGCTGCCAAGGTTCTTATCTGTTTGTTATGCTTGGCTTTCAGCCACTGAGGTTTATGTTTCCTGCTAATAAAGTGCTGTGAAATTTCAGTTAAGCTTGTCTCGGCATTCGTTACTGGACGGAAGACGGGGTCAGAACAGATCACTAAATGAACTGTTGTAAGCTGAAGACTACCTATATTCCCTTCCAGGAACATTCAATCAGATAAGGCAAAAATAGCTCAAATCACTTTCCTAACCAGCCATAAATCCCAGAAAGATATTATGAAGATATTGTTCTTTTGCGATGTCTCACTTTTAAGAGTATGAATGTCTGAATAAAAATATAGGATATAGATGGAAAAATAATTTTAAAAATTAATTTACCACCGTTTGTTTTGTTTAGCATAACAAAATTCCGACAGCTTTTAGACTATTTAGAGCCGAGGTGGCGCAGTGGTTAAATGCAGCACTGCAGGCTACTTCAGCTGACTGCAGTTCTGCAGTTCGGCTGTTCAAATCTCACCAGCTCAGGATTGACTCAGCCTTCCATCCTTCTGAGGTGGGTAAAATGAGGACCCGGATTGTTGTTGGGGGCAATTTGCTGACTCTGTAAACCGCTTAGAGAGGGCTGAAAGCCCTATGAAGCGGTATATAAGTCTAACTGCTATTGCTATTTTCTTAAGACACTGAATTAAATCATTAAAAATATTAAATAAAGCTAGCAACTCTCCTGAATGAGAATTGTTAAAGACCCCAAATTTCCTATGAAAATATGCACAAACTTTCGAACTAAGATTCTATAGTTTAGCATTTATTTTCATAAGAATACAGCCTATAAATGCTATCAGTCAGTCTAGAAATAAAAAGGTTGAAATGTTCTCAGGTGCGTAGGTTTTAAAAGGATCATTCAGTCCTTGAAACTCTTTCAGATTCTGATAAAAGGAGCTATTTTTCAGATATGGTAAAGTATCAAGGTGGCATCAAAAAAGCTATAAATAACTGCATTAATAAAAAGAACAGTATGCTGCACTTACTCTTGACACAAGAAACAGAATTTCCTTTCAGGAATATAATTTGCTAGAGTATAGCTTCACCAGTAAAAAAGGGGGCATTTGATGAAACTGGCTCTCTTGAATCTTTCAAAGCAAACAATTCACGTTACCCCTAAAGCAGCAGAGTAACCTACCAGAGATTTATTGCAGCTGTTCTTACGAACAAAAATTCTCCACCCTATTGCTTTCCAAACAATCAATCTCCCAGTTCATACATAAAATGCTAAAATGAAAAGTCTTCATACATAATATGATGTATTCCATAAAGTAAATAAGAAACACACACAAAAAATGAGTATAGAAATTAGTGCCTCAGGAATCTCACTGTAATTCCTTTTCAAATGGTCAGCTTTGATGAATAGAAAACTGAGTTTGTAAATTTAAGTTATGTTAATTAAGATGACATGCAGCATGGGACTAAGAAAGTTCCCCAGAAGAATGGGGGAGAATATCCATGACCTATGTAGCATTCTTTCTTTCTCGTACAGACTGGAAGCAGAATACTGAAAAACAAACTTTAACAAAACTTTCAAATATGCATTCATTAACCTGTTCGCAACTTACCTCTCTCTTACTGTAACAAGGACAACAAACAAATACAAATGACAAATGAATAACAAACAAACAAATAATATCACAACAATGTATGCTGGAGTCATAAAAATTTGAAATTTATCTGGCTGCCATTATTCGAAGATGTTCAGGTCTCATTGAATACAGTGCAATTTAGGGTAGGGACATGGGAGGATATGGGGAATGCTGACATTCCATGGGGTGGGGTTCTGGCTTTGAAGGGGGGGGAGTGCAATCGAATAGCAATGGTACTTAGACATATACCGCTTCATAGTGCTTTTAAAGCCTCTCTAAGCGGTTTATAGAGTCAGCATATTGCCCCCACAGTCTGGGTCCTCATTTTACCCACCTCGGAAGGATGGAAGGCTGAGTCAACCCTCAGCCAGTGAGATT